AGATGTGGAAGGAGGAGTGGCATCCACTTCCATAATAGCTTGCCTCCGGAAACCCTATGAACTTGGAGAGAGGATGAAAGGCACCCAAGCGTCAAGGACTCTCCTTCATAGGGTCGCTTCATGGCATCCACTTCCATAATAGCTTGCCTCCGGAAACCCTATGAACTTGGAGAGAGGATGAAAGGCACCCAAGCGTCAAGGACTCTCCTTCATAGGGTTGCTTCATAGGGTCTCCTTCATAGAGTCGCCTGTGACTCAACAGCACTTAACAACAACAACAGATGTTACAGGAGGAGATTGTCCATCTTTCTCCCAAGGAGCAGCTGGTGGATTTGAACAGCTTGCCTTATGGATTGACAGCATAACTTCTTACAATGAAGCTACCAGGGCCCCTTTTACTCACAGGCCCTTCAATTGCTCAGATTACCTTTCTGAAAGTTTTAGCACATGCAATTATCTCTCTATAGACCCTAGTAGCTTAGTTATACAGCTAAGAAGTGATCTTCAACAAGCGTCTCAAGAAGAGAAATAGTATGCCCTACCCCCTTCTCCTACCCTATAAGGAAGCAGAGTGTCATCCATTTCCTAAATAACATACCTTGGGGAACTACGAACTTTGATAAATGTCAATAGTTTTAGAGGGGATTTAGGTCTTTTGTTCTATGAGTTGTGGTCAACTTGAAGGCAACCAATAACAACAAAAACAACTCCTTTCTCCTCCCCTATAAGGTCCTCATCATATACAGGATAGAGCTTTCTGGATAACTGACCACTTGAAACTGTGGCTATCAATTGAGACTAGTGTCATTCGCCTAGGGATTTTTAGAAACGTGTAGAGAGAATTTGAGGCTGTCACAGGGACTAGGCAATAAGATTCACCTAGAATTTACAGAAAAAGAGAAAATAATTTAAGCTTGCTACAATTAAAAAAAATTATCCTATCAAATGTTTCATTCCTTAGCAATCATAGGCTTCAATAAGAGAATAAGTTGGGACAGGGAATGTTATTTGGTTTTTTATCTTTTTTGTTTTGTTATGCACCGTCGAATCAGATCTGGCTGGCACAGGAGGTGATTGCTCCTGTTTCTCCAGCAGAGCAGGATTTGAACTGGGTGCCTTCAGGATTGCAGTGCAGCTTCTTGCCGCTAGGCCACTAGAGCTCCCTATTTGTGGGTTTTAAGAACAAAACTCCATTCTTCAATTCAGGTAATGGGAAAATTCTGGCAATATCTGAGTTGCATTTTCCTGGTCTACTTACTATGGGAAGGGATTCAACAGAGAATTATTAAAACCTTATAGCTTAAATAGTAATGCTTAGAATATAGAAAAGTTTTAATTATTTCCTTATAAATGATAAAACCATTTCCTTCTTGACTGTGAGATGAAAGTTAAACCATGTAATGGCTAAAAAAGAATAGTCTAAGAAAGAAGAAATGAAATCTACCAATTATATCTTATGGCCTATATGAATAACACACCCCAAACCGTGTGTGTCCCTCTTTAAGATGTGAGAGGCCTTCCAAAGGCCCTCCAAAGGTCTGGGACCGAGACTCACAACACAATGGCCCTCACTCTCAGCCTACAGGCATGCACAAACATTTCAGTATTTTACCATTCCTGCACACCCAAATGCTGGCAGACTACATCAGACACCCCCAATTTATTGGGCAAGTCCCCTCTGCTTACACCAAAACACTGTCCACCATGGGTAACCATTATCACATCTGACAAATCAGTGTCACAGTGTTCAGCTTGACAGCAACCATGAGTTACATCTGTACAGCAAGTGGACAGACCAGGGCTTTATAACCTAGAAGAATGTTTCAGCAAAAACAATTAAAAACAGGCCTAAGGGCCACGAACTAAAGTCACCCACCTTTGGCTTTGTAGCATCACTTTCTGTTCATTAGGCCAACTGATTTCTCTCTATGCTGTTGTTGTTAAGTGCTGCTGAGTCATAGGTGACTCATAGTGAACCTATGAAAGAAAAGACCTGAACACTTGTATAACTTTCATCCTTTCTCCAGGTTCATAGAATTTCCAAAGGCAAGCTATCTCGGAAGTGGATGTTACTCCTGCTTCCAAGCTTTTTTGAATCAGGGAGTTGCAGATGAATTGGGGGTCTCTAGCGCAGAGTCCATTGGCATTTGGGCATACTGGAATTGTAAAATACCGAAATGTTTGCCCAAGCCTGTAGGCTGAGGGTCAGTGTGTTGTGAGTCGTGGTCCCAGGTGAACCTTTGGAGGGCCTCTTGAGTCTTAAAAAGGGACACATAGTGCCAAAGGTGGGTGACTTTAATCTGCGGCCCTCAGGCCTGTTTTTGCTTTTGGTGAAACATTCTTCTAGGTCATATAGCCCTGGTGTGTCCATTTGCTGTACAGAGATAACTAACTCGTGGTTGCTGTGAAGCTGAACACTGTGACACTGATGTGTCAAATGCGATAATGGTTACCCATGGTGGTCAGTGTTTGGTGGAGCTCCCAAATTAAAACAAGCTTAGAAGCAGGAGTGACATCCACTTCCAAAATAGCTTGCCTCTGGAAACCCTATGAACCTGGAGAAAGGATTAAAGTTATACAAATTTTCAGGTCTTTCGTTCAAAGGGTTGCTATGAGTTGCCTATGACTCGACGGCATTTAACAACAATAACATATGAATTGTAACTTGTTACAGTTTTTATTATTTCCCTACCACATAATGTCTGTGTTTCAATGATTATGCAAAGACATTTGACTGTGTGGATCATAACAAACTGTGGCTGACTCTGAGAAGAATGGGAATCCCAGAACATTTAATCGTGCTAATGCAAAACTTATACTTAGACCAAGAGGCAGTCATCAGAACAGAGCAGGGCCACACTGCATGGTTCAAAATTGAGAAGGGTGTACGCCAGGGATGTGTCCTATCTCCATATCTTTTCAACCTGTATGCAGAGCAGATTGTCCAAGAGGCTGGGCTCTATGAGGAGAAGCATGGTGTTAGGATTGGTGGAAGATCTGTCAACAATCTGCGTTATACAGATGACACAACCCTGCTCACTGAAACTGAGAAGGACCTCATGCACTTACTGCAGAGGGTCAAGGACTGCAGTCTTCAGGATAGACTGAGGCTCAATGTCAAGAAGACAAAGATTCTCACCACTGGACCAATCGGTAGCATCAGGATGGATGGCGAAGAGATTGAAATTGTTCACAGCTTCAGTTTGCTTGGCTCCACAGTCAACACTCTTGGCACCAGCAGCCAGGAAATCAAAAAACATATTGCGATTGGAAAGTCTGCGGTTAGGGATCTCTCTAAAGTACTCAAGAGCAATGGTGTCTCTCTGGAGACCAAGGTGCGCCTGATACAGGCCATGGTCTTTGCAATCACTTGTTATGCATCAGAGAGCTGGACAATGACTAGGGAGGAGAGAAGCAGAATTGACGCCTTTGAGCTGTGGTGCTGGAGAAGAGTACTGAATGTTCCATGGACTGCCACGAAAACAAACAGATCCACCCTAGAGAGGGTTAAACCAGGCTGCTCCTTGGAGGCAAGGACTCTGGGGCTTCGTCTGCCATACTTTGGACATGTTGTAAGGAGAGACAGCTCCTTGGAGAGGGACATCATGCTTGGTAGGGTAGAGGGACAGCACAGGAGGGGAAGACCCTCTATGAGGTGGATTGATTCAGTGACTGGGGTAATTGGGATGGGTGTGTCAGAGGCAATGCGATTGGCACAGGATAGAGCAGGGTTTAGGGCTGTTGTACATAGGGTCGCTATGAGTCGCAAACGACTCAACGGCACATAACAACAACAACCACCACCATATAATACTGTTAAGACATTTAATAGACGGGGGAAGTGTGTATTTTATATTATATATGTTAAGTGCTTTTCTAAGGATTACAGAGCCTGATTTCATACACTACTTCATAAACTATATTTCTCCTTTAAATAAGAAAAATGTGAAATGAAAATATGATTATCCTCAAAGTGCCACAATGTGTCAGCCAGCCATATTGCTGGACTCTAGTCTCCTGATATCCTAGTGCTTACAAAATGCACCTTAATAAACTGGAAAATTCTCAGCTGGAGAGAAGAGTGCAGGAAGAAGGAAGCTGAAATGGAAAACGAGATATTTAAGAAGTAGGATTTACCATGCAGTTCACTGCCTTCCTTTAGAAACACTCCTTATTTATTTTATTCAATCACTGTTGCACATTTTCTTTCCCCCCATCCCAAGTGCACTTTGTAGTGCACCTCTTGTTCCAGATTGTTGTCATGTATGAAGTAGGATTTACCATGCAGTTCACTGCCTTCCTTTAGAAACACTCCTTATTTATTTTATTCAATCACTGTTGCACATTTTCTTTCCCCCCATCCCAAGTGTACTTTGTAGTGCACCTCTTGTTCCAGATTGTTGTCATGTATATAATACCTAATCATATATTCCTTTCATACTGTTCTTACCCTCATCTGTTCCAATGCAGTGTTCATTATCTATTCATTCTTTTCCTCTTCTTCCTCCAATCCCCGTATCTGTCCTATTTTATAACAGCATTGTTATGCAGCATTTGTCCTTTTGTGACTGAGATATTTCACTCGGCATAATGTTCTCCGGGATTCCACATGTTGTGTAATGTTTTATTAGTCCATTGTGTGAATGTACCATAGTTTTTCTTTCCATTCATTTGTTAATGGGCGCCCAGGTTGCTTCCATCTCTTTGCTATTGTGAATAACACAGCAGTAAGCAAGGGTGTGCATCCATCTGTTTGAGTTGTTGCTCTGTTTTCTCACAGTATATTCCCAGTAGTGGAGTTGTTGGGTCCAGTGGTATTTCTATTTCCAACTTTTTGAGAACGTTCCAGACTGCCTTCCATAGTGGTTGTACCATTTTATGTTTCCACCAGCGGTGAATCAGAGTTTTCCACTCTCTCCACAACCTCTCCTGTCTTTGTTGTTGGCTGTCCTGGTGAATTTTGCTTTTGTTGCCAGGGTTTGAAGCCTTCTTACTAGTATTTAGTCAAAGTACTGAAGGATGTCTGCTCTCTTTGTGAGCTGCCGAGCCAGGGTGCCTGTTATGTCAGGATAATCCGTCAGTCCACACTTCAGGAGAAACAGGACACAAGTCAAGTGCTGCCCCGCACAGGCAAGATGCAGGGCTGGGAGAAGACAAAGATCACATTAGTACAGAATCCCTCATGTAGTATGAACCTAGTTATTAGATGGCTCCTTACAAAAACAACAGGTCTTCCTGGTAGTATCTTGTATATTAAATATTCTCTGCCATTAATAAAATTACATTGAGAGTAACACTGAAAACAAAACAAAAACAACAGGTCTTACCATTACAGGTTTTTGTTTCCATAGTTTACCACGATGATTTTGTCTATACTAGTTCAAAATATGATTTTTCTTCTCTACCTGACAGTTGAAGGTATTTTTAAAAAATAATAAAACCAGTTAAAGAGTCTTTGAGAAACTTGTCTAGAACACAAAAGCCAGTTAATGGCTCCTATTTATTCCTGCATATTATTAAAACATATTTTACTATTGAATTTTGTTCTTTCATTTAAGTGAGATTCTACAAATCATTTTTTGTTTTCATTTAAGTTTTCACATACATTTTCTTTTATAACATTAATTAGTATTTTTTTTTCCTTGTTGTATACCATCAAACCAGATCTGACAGGCATAGGAGGAGATTGCTCCTCCTTCTCCAGCAGAGCATTTGGTGGATTTGAACCACTTGCAGTAGTTGCCACTAGGCCACCAGAGTTCCCTTTGTAACATTAATTACTGTTGATTAATGTTATTAATTACAATGTCTCATCAAACCCTTATTATATATTGTTTTCCTCTTCATCCAGCTTAACTATTTTTTTTTTTAAATTTAGGTTGTTTATTTTTCATTTCAATGAACATCTACAGAGATTTTGGGATTCCATTCATTCATTGTTGCACCCTTCTCCCCGCACAAGCCCCTCCCCCTCCCCCCCCATTTGTTATTTTTTAAAGAGGAAATCACCTTTATTGGGAGAAATGTTGGCCAACAGACCTGTTACAGACTCATGAGCCACTTTATACAGGGTTTTTGTTGTTGTTATTTCTGTAAAATTAGTACTGACTAATAGTTGACTCTCCAGTGGCTTTACAGAGGCTGTAAACCCCCCCCCCCAGGAGGCAACTGTTCATCATTCTCCCCCACTGCACCTGGCAGATTCAAACTGCTTACCATTTGGGTTGGCAATGCAACTTCTTACCCACAACGCGCAACTTCTTACCCACAACGCCACCAGAGCTCCAAGAAAGGTAGGCTGGACTTTTGTAAAATGCAACATGTGAACCTGAAACTAGATGGCCAATCAGACAGCAGGGTAAGGTGTATCTCCCAACTTATCTAGTTACTAGTTTTTGCTTCCCCCTTCCTCCAACTAACCATTGTTAATTCTCCAACATTGTGTGTAAATTTTAATGTGTGTAAATAATAGTGTGTAAACTTTTCCTTAGCTTTTTCTATTTGTGGTCTTATATAGTGATTAATGGAGCTCTGGTGGCCTAGTGGCAAGAAGCTGTGCTGCAGTCCCAAAGACACGTGGTTTGAAGCCACTAGCTGCTCCATGGGAGAAGGATGAGCAATCTCCTCCCGTGTGATTAACTGCCTCTGAAAACCTGCCAGAGGGTTGGCTATGGGTTGGTCTCACTCTATGGCATAGAACAACAACAACCATGATTGTCCTTTTGTGGCTGACTTATGTAACCTACCATAGTTTGTTCTAGATGCATCTATGTTGCTCCATTTTTCACAAATGCCTGATAGTTTTTTGTGATGCACAATAGTCCATTGTGTGATTTATCACAATTTCTTTAGTCATTCATCTGTTTATGGACAGTTAAAATAGTTTTCAATTTTTTTCTGTGGTAAATATTGCTAAAATAAGCATGTGTGTGAGTATGTCAGTTTGTTCTGCAGCTATTATTTCCTTGGGATATATGTCTAATAAGGGGATTGTTGGATCAAATGATATTTCCAGTCCCAAACTGCTTTCCACTGTGATTATATCATTTCATATTCCCTCTAATACCATATGAGAGTTGCAAGCTCTCTATACCTTTGCCAGTATTTTTTGTGGTCTTATTGTTGTTGTTGACTGCCATCGAGTCAAGCACGACTCATAGCAACCCTATGAGTAAAAGGCCTGAAGTCTTTCTATAAGTATTGTCATTTATCAATGTTCATAGAATTTCCAGAAACATGTTGTTTAGGAAGTGGATGCCACTCCTGCTTCCAAGGTGTCTTATTAAACATTGCTATTTTTGATGGGGTGAGATGGTATCTCATTGTTGATTTGGTTTGCATCTCTCTAATGTCTAATGATCTTGAGCATTTCTTTCTACGTTTGTTAGCCATATAAGTGTCTTCTTTGGTGAAGTGTCTGTTCATGCCCACTGACCTTTTTGTAACTGGTTTGTTTTCCTTGTTGAAATGTTAGAATTAAGACACCCTTTAAATGGTACATAAAATGGTTTTAAAATTTTATCAATTCTTTTTTTTTTTTTTGAGTAAAAATGTGATCGCCATGAATAAGAATAATGTGATGAAAGGAAAAGCTGCAGCCACATTTTCCCAATTTGGTTGTAGGAATGAGTGCTGAAGGTTTCTGGTGTGTTGAGAATATTCCTGGTTCCCTTCTCAGTGTCTACGATAAAGTCTTGTGTCCCTCCCTGGACTTAATAGCTGCCGTTTCCGGTTCTAAAGTAAATGGTTATCTGTGAGTCTTTGAAGTATAAAGATCACGTAAAACCCTTGCAAGATTCTGGCTTACAGAATTTTAAGAGTTTTATGCTAAAGTCCAAGGCTAAATTCTTAGTCCTGGGGAGCTCTGGTGGCCTAATGGCAAGGAGCTGCAACTACAATCCCAGAGGCACATGGTTTGAATCCACCAGATGCTCTGCCAGGAAAAGGAGGGACAATCTCTTCCTGTACCAGTCAGATCTGATTTGATGGTACACTCACACAAAAATAAAAAAAAGAAAAAATCATTAGTCCTAAAATAGCATTCTGAATTATCAATTATGATTTATATTAAATATAGTTTTTAAATATATTTGAAAAAGAGACAATATATGATGAATCTGTAGAATACCCAGATAGCTGATGATAACCTTTACATGTTACAGATGAAGTATTGTTGTGGTATAAAATAATAAAAATAGTAAGAACGATGAGTAGTCAACATCATTGGTGTTGTAACAGCAAGTTTTATAGATGTAGAATCAGAAGGAGTATTATTTTAAGGAAAAGTTGCTAGGTTACTAGAAAAAGAATATTAAAACCAAGGCTTTTAATTTAAAAGCCTCTGAGTACTGATGGTGTAGTAGATTACAAGTTGAGCTGCTAACTAAAAGCCAGAGGGGGTAACTGATAAACTGCTCTACAGGAGAAAGATAGGCAGTTTCCTCCAGTAAAGATTTGCAACCTCAGACACCGACAGAGGCTTGCCATTAAGTAAAAATTGACTTGACGGAAGTAGGTTTGGCCTTTGGATGTATTGTTTACATTTAATTTACTAGTAATTTTTAAAGCATATTTAAAAATAAATCTCACCTGATCTATTTCTTTTATCTTGAGCGGTGATGTCAGCACCCAAGGATAGGAGAGTCTGAATTGTGCTTATATGTCCTTCCTGAGTGTTAGAAAGAAGTTTGTTATTACTTTGATTAGGACAAAACTAAACTTTAAAATTCAAACTCTAATCCACATAAGGCACTTTAAAAATACTAAATTGATCATGCTGAATTTTTATATTTAAAGGATATCATTACATCATCTTGTATTATAAATCATTAAATAAAGCTTCTAGTGACTTTGATAATATTTCTAGTGACTGATATTTTTTAAATAGATGATTATGCAGGTCAAGCTATTCACCAATAAAGCTGAGTTTCCATTAGTATAAAGCATTGGAACCTTGTGATTTATAAAGAACATACAATTCTAGAATTTCCCAAGAGTATATTTCTATTCTTTGCTAACATCTTTAGGGAAGAGATGAATGTAACTTCTCATAAGTAGCCTTCTCACTACAGCTAGGTTTATCTTTTATGAAGTGATTTATAAAATCTTTTATTTAGCAAGCTAGTTCAGTAAAATGCAGAATGGCCAAATGCAAGGTTACAGAATCAATTTTCCAGTGGGTCCCCTCCATGTGACCACAGGCCATACTAGCTTAATCTCATTCCCACTTAATCTCAACCCACTTGCTCCTAAGGGCAAAATCAAGAGGAGAATATAGTTGATTAGGAAAAAAATTCTTTCTGCTGGTAGAAAAACAAATAAAAGCAAATAACCTATAATGTTAAAGACAGCTCAGAGAAGAGTCCTAAGATTTAATACAAGAGGATATAGATAGCCACTATCTACAGCCAATTTTCCATGTCTTAAATATTTTATAGGGAGTTCTGATGGCCTGGCAGGTAAAAAATTGTGTTTCTAACCCTAAGGCAGAGAGTTTGAATCTACCAGCAGCTCTGAGGAAGATAAGAATTCTTTTCTCACGTGATTTATATCCTCTGAAAATGTGCTATAAGTTAATTCTGACTCAACAGTACCTAATGATACATTGGAGAACCCAATAAATGCAAGTCCCTTGCCTAGTTAAGGAGATTTTAACTCTTGAAAAGCAACACAGGAATAAGCTAGAAAATTTATAAAATGGATAGTTATGGCTTCAAATAACATTATTCCTAACCCCTCACCCCCAAAAAAAGGCAGGAGAAGGGGACCATAAATCCTTAGTATCTTATGAAATAAAGAAGCTGTGCCTCTCCCCCTGCTCAGTGCTTACACAGAAACAAATAAGGTCAGATTTCTTTTTAAAGGAATTCAGGACTCCAGAATCATGACCATTTTTAGAGCATTACATAAGCAATTTCTTCCATATTGATGGTGCCAAAGAAACCAGAGCTAGATTTCTTACTCCACTGATTGAGTAAGGTGAGCCTAAGAAAGCGGAGACATAGTTATGAAGTAAACAAACCTTAGCTGCATAGAGAAGTGGTGTGAAGTGGGTTGATGTTGCCCTCACATCGACATCAACACCAAGGTTACAGACCAAGAATCGGATGGCTTCATTCTGCCCAGTGATTGCTGCTCTGTGCACAGCCTGGTCCCCTAATGTATCCTCAGCTGAAACATAAGCCTAGTAGAGAGAAAGTGGAAAAGAAAAGAAGATGTAAGAAAACTAGGGCCCTTTCCCCCACCCCCATCTAAGTATGCTTTATAAGTAGATGATTCAAAGCTTTTACCCAAATGTTCAAAGAACTCTTTTGCACTAAGGGACTCTGGAGGTTCCGTGTATAAAGAAAGTGTTGTGCTGCCAACCCAGAAGGGTTTGGTTTGAGTCCACCAGGAGCTCCGTAAAAAACAATTCACTGGAGGGTCAGCTATGGGTCGATTCCAACTTGATGGTACACAGCAACAACAATTTTAACACTGTACCCCAATCTCCTAAATTGTTAAGATTTCATAACTTTGATGATAGTAACAAAAGCACAGTCAGCAGGGACAATTTATTGTTGTTAACTTGTGCTACATATTTTGCTAACTGCTTTATGGACACTGTATTATTTAATCCTTATAATGGAGTTTCTGGATGTGTAAATGGTTAATATAATTGGTTACTAATGGACAGGTCAAAAAGGCACTTCAGAAGAAAGATCTACCTATCTTTCACCCCCCCCACCCCCCGCCAATAAGCCTTTGGAAACCCTACAGAATACAATTCCACTCTGCATATGGAATTCCGTGAGTTAGAGCCTACTGGACAACAGCAGGTAAAACAATCCTCATTAACAACTCCCTGAAGAAATTATTTACCCACATTTTACAGATGGGATGCTTAGGTAGATCAAGGAATTACTCAGGCGCAAATAGCAGAACTGGAATTTAAACTCAAGATTTTAGTTACCAATTATGCTTTCTGCTTCTCCTATGATATAAAAGGCATAGGGATAACCAAATGAATAAACCCCAAACCATTTATATACCTTATGTTCTTCAAGGAGCATCCATGCTATGGTGATGTGACCACACTGTATTGCATCCATAAAGGGTGTAACTCCACACTTGTCTCTGCAGTCTGGTTCATACTGACACCTAGAGCCAAATCCCAAAATAAAAGGGCTGAGAAAAGGTGCCTCTTCAAGCTTAATGAACAGCTGACACTTACTCATCAGTAGGGCGATTATATACTTTACAGATGATCTCTGATAACCAGGAGGCCTCTCTCTCTCTTCACCCATCTCAATCTCTGAGCTGAGTTCTAGGTCTTTAAGAGTATGGTGATCTTTCCCAGAATATCTGTTCCTCCTCTAACTTTTTCTGTTTCATTTAAAAAAAACAAATTACTTGTGTTTTAGGTGAAAGTTTACATAGCAAATTTGCTATTAATTTGACTTAATTAATCAAACTCATTAGCTATTAGTTTGAAATGAATAACTTTCAAACAACTTGTTCCATGACACTGCTTATATTTTTCCAATGTGTCAACATTCTCACAGTTTCATTCTTGGTGTTGTGTTTCCATAAGTCTAGCTTTTTCAAGGCTCCTTTGTTTCTTATCTTTGTTTTAGACTAAATGTTGACTCTTTGGCTTCATATGGATGATTAATTTAAGGGAGCACAGCATTTATAAATGACAGTATTTTATAAGGCTGCCTATTATTTGGGTGAAATACTGGGAACAGTTTCATTTCCAAATTCAAAGGAAATTTTAAAGTGATCAGGGGTTCTGCTAGTCTATATTGACCCAGTAACTGTGACCTCCTTTTTATAGGAATTTAAATTCTGATTTGCAATCCCGCCCCCATTCTATCTGAGGACTTTATTGTGTCATGGTCAAAGGGGCTGGTAGTGACTGTCAGGCACCATCAAATTCTTATGGTCTAGTTGCATTTTCACAGGCCATTAGTTCTGTGGACTAATTTCTTCCTTGAGTCATTCTCTTTTGCTCCAGATGAGAAGAGACTAAAAAGTCAGTATTAGATGCCTGCTCACAAGCTTTTAAGAGCTCAGTTGCAATTTACCAAATTAAGATGTAAAACATTGCCTTTATAACCTATGTTATACCAGTAGGCCAAGCTGTCCTGTGAATGAGACTATAGCTCCAAATTTTCATACCCAATATACCAATTTTATAAGGTATTAGGCTAGATCTTGATGGGATCCATAACTGTGTCCTATAATATATGCATATAATATATATATGAATATCTACGCTGAGCACATAAACATGTATATCCAACTCCTACAGATACACCTGCACATGCATACTCATATGTGCCTCTGTATACATATATGCATGCATATCTATTGAAGCAATCACCCAAATATTTTCTTTATTGGTTGATATTACTGTTGCATGGCGCTCTGGTGGTGTGGTCTGTAGGAAACTGTGCTGCTAACCCAAAGGCAGTGCCTCTCTGGCAGTGTGAACCCACACGTGGCTCCTCAGGAGACTCTCCTGGGCAATCTCCTCCCACTGTGATTTACAGCCTCCCGAAAACCCATTAGAGGGTCAGCTATGAGTTGATTCCAACTTGAGGGCAATGAGTTTAAGACTTTTTTAGCACTGTTACTACTGCAAAATTGTATATTATAGTTGTTGTTGTTAAGTTCTGTCGAGTTGGAACCGACCCATAGCTGACCTTCCAGTAGGTTGTCAGAGGCAGTAAATTGCATGGGAGGAGACTGCCCATCCTTCTCTCACAAACAACTGGTGGATTTAAACTGAGTACTTTTGGGATCGATTTTACATAAGCAAAAGAGGATGCAAACATCATGAGTAAATGAAAGAAATGCTATGACTTTCTCCCCTTCACTACTGATGCTTCAGTATATACCAAACTTCTTTCATTCCTCAAATGTACTATCTCTATTCCTCCTTCACCCCATGGTTTAACTCATTGACAGTGAGATCCCATACACATAGGACAAGTTGGGTTTCCTGTTATAAGCTCCTCTGGTTTCCTGCAACTGCATGTAGCATTCAGTGAACTGACAGGTCTTGTGCTATACTAGTGTCTGTGGAGCTGTGAGCTGCAGAGAAACCATGCTTGTCTCATTGCTACTGTAGTCCTGAATCTGGTACAATGCTTATAGTAGTGCGCATTAGGCACTGAATGAATATTTGTTGAAAGAACAAATAAATGGATGATTTTGCCACTATAAATGTCACTCCCATGCTTGATGGGTATTTATATTCTTTGAGTGTATACATTTAATTAATTGTTCTTTTGGATGATTAGTGTCTTTCTTAATCTGCCTGTTCTCTTTATATAGTATTAACTTTTGTAATATTTAGCAATTTTTCCCTTTGATTTTCTAGGTGTTCTGACCCCCATTATACCACATAAGCAACACTTACCACGTAAGCAACACTTTCACTGCCTCTACACGTCCATGCATTGCTGGGAAAAGAGAGTTGAAAATTAGAGCTTCTTTCATAGAAATATATTTCTTTCCTCCTGGATTCTCTCTTTGCCCCATACTGGTTTATGATTACAGGAAGGAGTGATTACATTGGGCACACTATTACTGTTCTAGAAAACAAAAAAGAAATTTAACTGGATAAAGAATAAAGAATAAAGTTTTCACTTTACAGGTACACAGTCAATGTCTGATTATTGTATCTTTATGAAAACTTCTCTAATAAATTTTCAATCCTAAACTTTTATGCTGTAAAACCCAAGGCCAGTCAGTTTTTACCCAAGAAATGTAAAAAAAAAAAAAAAATTTAGTAACAATCCAGAACAAAATAGCCAGGAATTTAAAACTCCTATCAAAACCAATTTTAGACAATAAAATAATCTTGACTCTGCTTGCACTATTTTGTGAGGAATAGTGGAAAGCCGCTCAAATAATTAATGAGCTAGAGAAACGTTTTTTTACTGACCTGTAAGGTTTTTAAAAAGAGTTTCCTTGGTCTTTAATATTCAAATATCACTAGAGAATAGTTTACTTACTATTTCCTAGACTATATTATGTCAAAGCTTTGGATTTTTAGAGAAAAATGCTTGTTTTAATTCCTAGAAGATTAAAAGCTGTATAGATATTTACTAAGTTTCTTGATCTAGCCTACTGAGCTCCTTATTACCCAAGCAAATTTTTGTGTGTGTCTGTGTATGTGGTATAGTGGGTCTACTGACTTTGCCACATGGCTGGATGGGAATAAGCAAAGAAGGTAGATAGTCTATCCCTGAGGCGACTGACCCATTTTGTCATTCTTCCAGGTTTAGATTGAGCAGATTCAGCAGCAGAAACTGGGAATCTCACTACCAGCAAGGAGGAAGACAGACTGCAGAGCTCTTCCTTCAGGGCTAGATATTTCTGCAACAGTCAGACTGGGACTATATAAAGGAGAGCACCAACAGCCACAGCAGAGAACCAGAACCCAAGGTAATACACAGCTGACTTGGGACTGCAGTGACACAAAGCCAGGGCCAGGGGTCTTCACTCAACCTTGCCAGAGAATTTTGTGGGAAGGTGACATAATTGTCAGGCCTAAGAGAGTTTTGTAACAGAGCCTAAAGCCACAAGGTTGAAGGCTGAGGGGATTGCAAGCATGTTTAAGAAGCTATCCTGGCTGAGAAATTGTATCCTGTTGCCAGCCTTAGTTGTAGTTTGTTTTCTTTCCCAATAAACCCCATAACTGTGGGTATGGAACTGTGAGGTCTGTGTAGCAATAGATTTTGGACCCAGCTGAGCAGTAGTATTGGTGTTGGAATAAGAAGTAGATGTGGGAACATGGGGGACATCTCTGACTTTATGGGAACTGGGTTTTGTATTGTGGATGTTCTTGATGGGGGTAGTTCCCCCTTGTGCCGTTAGCAGAGGTCAGACTCAGCCATCTCCACACCACCTTCTTTTTATACAGTGATCCTTGGTAATGAGTTTAGTAACAGATTTGAAGGCTGTTGAAAGGCTATATGGAGATTCTGCTAGTCCCTATAACACCAGTAACTCTAGATTTTGCAATTATTTTGAATTTTTCTACATATTTTCTCCTATTCTACTGTGGTCCTGGTCAAAAGCAGTTGGTAGTGGTAGGTGGACACCATCCAATTCTTCTGATCTCAGGCTAGACAAGGCTGGGGTGCTGAAATTCCTTAATTTGAACCATTAGTCCATTGGACTAATTATCTTCCTTGAGTCTTTGATTTCTTTGACTTGCCTTTGCTACAGACAGGAAGAGACCAATAGTTGCATCTTGGATGGCTGCTCAAGAGCTTTCAAGATCACAGTGTCACTATGCACCACAGTAGGATGGAGGAAACTGTCTTTGTGGACCATGTTATACTAGTTGACCTAGTTTTCTAGGTTCCAAGTACTTATTCCCTTAGGCTTGTGACTCTAGTTAATTTTTTAAATCACAGTAACTTTGTTTTTTATTACTTTAAAAATAGTCTAAAGAGCATTCAGTTAAGGATAACTAGTTCAAACAACAAAAGTGAAACCAAAATGTCTATCTGACGTTATCACTATTGTATGCCATCAAGTCCATTCTGATTCAAAGTGATCTACAGGATATAATAGAACTGCTCCACAGAGCTTCCAAGGCTGTAATCTCCCCCTCCCCCATCTGTATTCTCTTCTTCTTTCTTCTACTTCCCAATTCAGACTCTCTCAAAGCTGAGCACAATTTCCTTGCTGTATTCCTTTTGTATATGTAAGCAGAATTTCGTTATAACATTTCCAAGGTTGTAATTGCTATGGAAACAGATTATCACACCTTTCTCTCTGGGATGGCTGGTGAATTTGAACCACTCACTGACCTTTCAGCTGAGTGGACACTTAACCACTGTGGAACCAGGGCTCCTTAGGTACAGATATTGAATTATAAGTATGTATATTTCTTTTCAAAATTATTTAGTGAGCTCTGGTAGTTTAGTCTATAGGTAGTTGCTCTACTCACCTAAAAGTGTGCCCCTCTGTTGGAATGAATCCACTAACGGATCTGACAGAGAATAAGAGGCAATCTCCTCCTTTGTGATTTACAGACTCCAAAAATCTGATGGTCAGCTATGAGTTCACTCGGACTCGATAGCAATGTATATGGGTTTTTTTAGTATATTTATTTACATGTTTAGCATTGTGGAAAATGTTCCTCAGGACATAAAGAAGCATAGTGTCTTTTCCTCCTATCTTTAATTAAAATAATAATGAGATGATGATGAAAAAATAGCAATAGCCAGTTAATCTGTACTCACTATCAAGCACTGTGCTAAGGGATTTATATATATCGTGTCCTTTAAGTCCACATGTTCTGGTACTCTAATGTGATGATGTTCAATATGGCCCTCCTAGCCATTAGCTTTGACTATCACCACATGACTGGGGGGAAATCCAAAACAGGGTATGTGTAAACTAATCATTATAAGATCAGTTAGTTTCCCCCATACCACCAAGTTACGTTGAGCGAGTTTAGCAGCAAAAGTAGGAATCTCTCCATCAGTAAGGAAAAGGAAGCAAAGAGTACAGTGCACGTTCTTCGGGACCAGAGATTTCCTGCACCAGTCAGACAGGGAACTCTTTGAGAGCAGCAACAGCCTCAACAGGGAACCAGAGACCAACATGAAACAGAGGGAACTTGGGACTATTCCCATAGAGCCAGAGCCAGGGGTCTTCACTTAACCTGGAGGATAGAGGGAAGATGCCATAACTGGAAGGACTAATAGAATTCTCTAACACTGACCTAAACTATAGGCTGAAGGCCAAAGAGTCTGTAACCATGCTTGCTAAATTGTCTGGATTGAGGAAATGCATCCTGTGGTCAACCTAAATTGACCTGCTAACTTCCCTAATAAATCCCATAACCATTAAGTATAGTTCTTTGAGATCTGTGTGGCCATTTGCAATGAATTTCAGACCCTGCGGTAAAGCAGTACAATTAATCTTGGAATTAGTAGAAGTAGGTGTGAGAGCATTGGGCCATGTCTGACATTACAGGAATTGATATTATACAGTGGATGTTGCTCCTCCTGTTTGTAAAATTAATAAACATCTGGCTTGATCATCCTCATGCCACCTATACTCTTAGTACAGATACAAACATAGTAACTATTATTAATTTGCTAGTAAGGAAACTAAGGTCTTTAGGATACTGAGTGTCTTTCTTAAGGTCAAAAAGACAGTGAAAGACAAGTCTAGCTTAGCATCTAAGTAGAAAGGATAAGTTAAATATACAAGAAATATTAATTAAGGGAGCTCTGGTGGCCTAGTGGCAAGAAGCTGCACTGCAATCCCAGAGAAACACGGTTCGAATCTACCAGATGCTCTGCCGGAGAAGGAGGCGCAATATCCTCCTGTACCAGTCAGATCTGATTTGACGGTACACGCACACAAAATAATAAAAAAAATCTAAAAAAAAAGAGAAATATTAATTAATACAAAAAGGGGTACTAATTGCCAAGTTATACTCGTTTTAGAGACTTCTTGTATGCCAAAATACCCCAAAGATACTTTTATTCCTTACCCCTTCTTTTCTCAAATCCCCCATTCCCCTGTGGGTGGACGCAAAGTATGATGTGAACTAGAGATTCTCTGCAGTGCTGAGTGACTCATGATGCATGGTTGTACCCACATCTCCTCAGAACTGTTGGTCATACCTGCAGTGTGCAGAGGAGTTCTTTTAATTTTGCTCTCTGTCTTCCAGACAGTCGGGGAAACAGTAAGCAAGTACTCAAGGATCGCAGGGTCGCCCTCTCTGCTGGCAATGTGGAAACTGTTCCAACCATCTTTATTCTTCAGCAATGGATTGGCTCCATGTTCCACGAGGCACTGGACCACCTCAAGAGTCTTCCTTGTGCAAGCCATCATTAGAGGAGTCCTAAGCCAATCAAGACAAGCTGTTAGATGGGAGGATAGCTGAGACATTAGAACTGAGTGACCAGATCTTCCTATTTATAGACAGAAAACCTATAAATTCACTATCTAGGAGAGGAAAACAACTCTCACTAGCAACTTGTTTGCCATGAGCACCCTGGGGGAAATAACATGGGGAAAATGATTGTGACATCTATGTACCTATAAGAGTGGCATACTTAGGAGACAAAGCTGCTACTGAATTAAACATTGTATAGCACTGAATTGGGACAGAGCAAATAAAAGCTGTAGACACTTGGTCCTGAAAATATTTGTATAAGAAGTACTCTACTTATGCAAATCAAAACCACAAGAGATACCATCTCACTCCAGTAGCCATGGCAAAATTTAACAGGACAGTACATAATAAATGTTGGAGAAGATGTAGAAAGATAGGAAGTCTTAACACATTGCTGATGGGACTGTAAAAAGGTACAACCACCCTGGAAGGCAGTTTGGCATTTCCTCATAAAGCTGAGCATAGAAATTCCATATGATTCAGCTATTCCTCTGCTTTGAATATAAACCAAGAGAATTAAAACAGAGGCAGAAATGGAGACTTGTACACCAGTGTTCAAAGCAGCATTATTCACCACCACAAGAACATGGAAACAGCCTAAATGTCCAACCACAACAAAATGGATTGAGAAATTATGGTATATTCACACAATGGAATACTATGCAGCTGCAGGAGCAATGATTTTGTAAATTATTACCTAACTTGGAAGTCACTGGAGAGCATTATGCTGAGTGAACTAACTCAGTCCCATAAGGTCAAATACTGTATAAGACCATTAGTGTACAATGAGTATGAGGATCTAAGTGAGGGGAGGGCAGGATCAGAGGGCTGAGGATGGTCAGGGCGTGGGAGTGGTTAATTATAGGGTCACACAATTTGATGCATAGAGGGAGGGGTGGGTGAAGCAAATGGGAAAGATCTGGTATGAAAACAATGTATATGAACTTTGTAAATAAAACAGTATAAATTTTTCTTTAAAAAAAACACGTACTGTACTGATTTATTCCCATTCTCCTCAATCAGTATCCACTTACTAACTTGTGCTGAAAAAGAATTAGAAAAGTACAGTTCAGCACACCCTTGATGAAGCACTTACCACAAAAAGGATTTTGAGTAAATAATTTTATTTCTCTGAGTTTGCAATTTCCGTATGAAAATTAATAAGAAATGATTCCTGAAAAGCAGAGGCAGGTCTTATTTATCTATTTATCTTCAGTCTGTTGAATTTGTCTGGCACATAGTGGAGCTCAGTGTAACTAGATGATTTCTAGGGTCTTGTCTAAGATTGCTATGATAATAGTTAATTCCTGACTCTATTTGTGTGTGTGTGTAGAAAATTGCTTTTCAGTCAGTTTGGACTTATCGTGCATTTTCTTGACTAATCTTTACAGAAACAGTAGTGCTATCTTCCATAGTGCTGTGCGCGGGGTTCAAACTATCAATTTCTGGGTTAAAAATTGAATGCAAATGATTTATGCTACCCAAGGACCTCCCCCATGGTTATGATAGTGATGAATCAGAAAGGAGAGAGCCTCATAAATGAAGGTCAGAATGTACAGTGAGAATGAATCCTGAAGAAGGCAGGAAAACTGGAAGAAAGTTATTTTAGAAAGACAGAAAGGAAGGAAAGGGCAAAATACAGCTGTGTGACTGTATCTCTTTATACACATAAACAAATGAAACTTGCCCTTTCACTGAATAGTAGTGGTTAAAAATTATTTTTTCTCCTTGGAGGCAAGGATTCTGAGGCTCCGTCTAACATACTTTGGACATGTTGTGAGGAGAGACCGGTCCCTGGTGAAGGACATCATGCTTGGGAGGGTGGAGGGACAGCGCTGGAGGGGAAGGCCCTCTATGAGGTAGACTGATTCAGTGACTGGGATAATTGGGATAGGTGTGTCAGAGACAGTGCAACTGGCACAGGACAGAGCAGAGTTTAGGGCTGTTGTACACAGGGTCGCTATGAGTTGCAAGCGACTCGATGGCACATAACAACAACAACAACAATAGTCAGCCAAAATTCGCTCTTCTTGTTGGTGTTTGTGGTCAAGTTGGAACCAACCCATAGTTAACTCTCTAATGGGTTTTTAGAGCCAGTAAATTGCTTGGGAGAATGCCCAGCCTTTTCCCATGGTGCAGTTGGTGGATTTGAACCATGTGTCTCCAGGACTGCAGCACAGCTTCTTACAATTAGGCCACCAGAGCTCCCTCAATATAGCTGACGGACAAAACTGCAATCTTCAAAACATAATTACATCTCTTTTCTTTGCACAAGAGTAAAAATGGACTTTATTTAGCTTATGGCTCTCTACTGTGTTTTTTCCCTCTTTTAAATCTTAAATTGTGTTTGAGGTCTAGTTTACAAATTATACTGGCTTTCTGCTGTACTTTTTTGTTTATATCTGATCAGGAATCACTTGCAGGCAGGAACTTCATTACATTATGGACCCTAAGAGAGTCCAACAGGCCTCTTATTATATTATGGGCCTTAAGGAGTCCAATAGAGAAAAGAAATAATACAAATGTAACAAGCAGACTGCAAGTGGCTTTTAGGGGTGGCATAGCTGAGTATCTCGATTGTGGTGGTGGTTATGCAAAGATGTCACTTTGAGGACTAATGTGCAACTGACCCAAGCCATGATGTTTTTGTTTCATATGCGTATAAAATCAGTACAATAAGGAAGGCCAGTGAAGAATTGCTGCCTTTGAATAAGTGTTTGTGAAGAATATGAAATATATAATAGTCTTCCAGAAGGAAGAACAAGTCTGTCTTTGAAGAAGAATAGCCAGAATACTCCTTCAAAAGTAGGATGATTGGGGAGAGAAATGTGCAACAATGAATGAGTGGAAATGAAAAAAAAAAAAAAAGTATGTGAGACAAAGCTTTGTTATCTTTTCCTCCAAGAAACATTCTGGCTGCATTTTCTCCAAGACATTATCTGTTCTTTTGGCAGTCCATGGGATATTCAGTACTCTTCCCTGACACCACAGCTCAAAGGCATTAATTCTTCCTCTGTTATCCTTATTCATTGCCCACCTCTCCAGCCAACTTAATCATGGCCAGGAGAGCAAAAAACCCAGGCTTGTTAGTTACACAGGCAGGGCAAACAGTTCACCTTCAGTTAATCTTTTGCAGTGAGAGGTAGTCCTTGTCTCATACTGTTGTTGTGGTTGTTAGCTAATATGGAGTTACCTTGATGGATAATGAGTGACTCCACACAAAGTGAAGACAAATACTGCTGGGTCCTGAACCAGTACCATGGTTGGTTGCAGGTTGGACCACTGTAATCCATAAGGTGATTTTTGTAAGCAAGTCTTTGTTTTTCTAGTCTATTGTAGTCAGAAACCTTCACATTTGGGATCCTAGCAACATGCAAGTTTCCGCTGACATATGGGTGGCTGTATATGAAGTGTACTTATTGGCAATCAAACCCAGGTCTTCTAACCACTGAATCATCACTGCCCTTCAGGAAGGAGAAGCAGCCTCAAGTACATGAAGGGTGCTCAGAAAACTGGGCAGCCAAAAAGAAGTACAAATGCCCACTACAGACACTCACTTTTTACTGTGGCCCTTTCATACGTGCCTATCATAGGCATGGGCACAATTAAAGAGTTCTGGAATTGTCATTTTTCTCAATGTTAACCATAATTTGTTGTGATCCATGCAGCCAAATGCCTTTGCATACTCAAAAACCCATAAATAGGGAAAAGAAGGGAAAAAAGAGCAGGATGATGGCACTTTGTCTCAAGTACTTTGGGCATATTATAAGGAGGGAACAGTCCCTGGAGAAGGACCTCATTCTCGGTAAAGCAGAGGTTCAGTGAAAAGAGGAAAACTCTCAATGACACAGTGGTTTCAAGTATGGATTCAAGCAAAGCAATGAAAATGAGGATGGCTCAGGACTGTGTAGTGTTTCATTCTGTTGGATATGAGAGTTCCTAAGGGTCAGAAATGACTTGATGGTACCTAACAACAACAACATGATATTGGGCTAGAATTGCACAAAGCTATTCAAACACAAGGGCAGGTATAAAACTGGTGAAATCTGAATAAACTCTTTGTTGCTGTTGTTAGGTACTGTTGAGTCAAGTACAAGTCATAGTGACCTTCGACCCAATAACAGCCAATCTGAACCCTGCCCTTTCCTGTGCCATCCTCACAAGCTAGAGCCCACTGCTGAAGTCACTGTGTCAACCCACCTGGTTGAGAGTCTTCTTCTCTTTTGCTGCCCCTCCAGGTCCCCATCATGTCCCTTCCAAGGGACAATCAATTCTGATTTGTTAGTTTTGTTAGTGTTCTAAGGTTACGTAAAAGGCTAACACTGAGGGAGACTGGAGGAAGGTTATCGCTAACCATTTCTTTGCCTTCTGTGAATCTCCTAATTACTGAAAAATAAAAAGTTTAAAAAAAATTATTCAGTGGTTTAGGTAGTAATTTAGCTAGATGTCCACTAAAAAAAAAATCACATCCTGGAATTCATATCACAAGAAGTACATAAAATGCACTTATTTTATTCTATTTGCTACAGACCTCTTAAAAAGAAATGTTTGCCAAGACCAAACAGTTAACTCCACAGGGATAGAAACAATGTAAATTATAGGCAATCTTCATTACAACGAAGGGAACACTAGGGCAAGACCATCCTATCCCTGAACAAATCTGACTCGAGAACTAAAAGTTAAGGAAGGGGACCAAACGCATCAATAACCACGAATCTACAAAGGGTATTTTCTGGAAAGCACGCCACCTACCAGTCTGCCTTTTTCAGGCAGTCGACAGCGGCACCTAGGCCCAGCAGATAGTTCACGCAGTCCAGGTGGCCCATGGAGGCAGCTTCATGCAAAGGTCGTTTGTAGTCTCTGTTGGTGGCCTCGATGTCCATCTTCCAGACCTCTGTCAGATAGGTCAGGCTGTCCAGGCACCCGTGGCGGGCTGCGCAGTGCATGAGGGTGTCCCCAGCGGGCCCCCGGCACTCTGTAGCCTGGCCGCCGTCCCTTGACAGCTCCTCCTGCAGGTCGCGCAGTCGGCCTTCCCGCACCAGCGAGTGGAGGCTCTGTGGCCCCTGCGGCTGCATTTCGGCGGGGGCCTTCGCCGAACGCTTAGGCGTAGCCATGACAACGCTGCGGTGGATAGAGTGGAGCCCAGACCAAGGGAGGGGTAGGGAGTGAGGGGTGGCTGACAAAGCGACAGAACTTGGCAGCCCCCTCTCTTTCAAGGCAGCAGGATGGGGCTGGTAGAGGGAGAAGGGGTTCTCTGACAGTCTCAGTCCCGGCAAACTGTGCAGGACTGAGCAGAGAAAGAGAACAATTTACTCAGTCACGCACTTCCGAGCGTGGTTTCCGTTTCCTGCACGTGGTTTCTTCCCGGAGACAAACAAGAACTAATCCTTCCTCTCCAGCTCTCGGCTCGCCAGCTTCTCGCTAACCCAATTGGCCCCCTGAGGGCCCCTAACAGGAAGGGCCACACTTCACATCACTCTCCTCTCCTGACTTGCTTCAAGTGATAAAGAAGCCGCTGTTTCCTAATACAGAGTAACTCTTTCAAGGGAAGAAATAGTGTAAGATAAAAACTCCCTGTGAATTGCTCATCTAGTTTACCAGATGCATACACGTATTATGTGAATATTAGAGTGAGGTGTCTAGGAGAATGCATTTCTTGGGGGCTGTGTACACACGTGTCTAACGCTTTTAGGTGTTATTATTTTTGCTTAAAGACATTAGATGATGGGGTGTTGTTGCCTAGACAACGAAACAAAAAAAGAGTATGAAAGATACCTATGAGGTAGTGAGTACACCCACACTTCAGGGTTCTGCATACACATTTATAAGCTACTTTTAGAGTTTAGCGTGCAGTCGGTAGATTCACATTTGTACTAAAAGGTTATAGTTTTCAAATTGCTTTCGCATATTTGCTTTAATCTACAAGACAGCCACTATAAAACACATTTGCTATGATTCTGTCCATTTCCAAAACATCAAACTGCGACAAAGGCTTATTCAATCAGAGGAATCCTTAGGAAAAAAGATGGTTATTTCTAAAGGCCAATTCTATTTATGTTCTTTCTTTTATTTTCTTTTTACAAATTACCTGCATAAACATTTGTTAAAGGAATGAATGAAAGGCGCCACCGTAATCACTTGTCTCTTCCAGAGCCACTTCAGTCAATACACTTGTTACCACGGACTTGTAGTGGGGCTTCTTAAAATCAGGGTAGCGCCTCAGCTCACTTCTCTGCATTTCCCTGCGCTCCTCCAATCCAAATCCAGCCCACCCACCCCTTTCCCTGCCTAAAATAGAGCCAAGGAGGAGTGATCAAAGGCACTCTAGGAAAGTTTCCACTTCTCTCCGCAGCCACAGAGAAAGGTACGACCAGGGCGAGCTTCGCTATTGGATAGCCACGCCCCCTTCGGGAGGGCGTTCCGATTGGCCGCGGAAGCCGTCCGTCAACCCTGGCGGAGGGCTGTTCCCGGGGCTTCGTTGGAGGGCGGAGCTCGCAAAAGGAAGTCCTCAGAATTCTTGGTGTTCAGAAGTCCCGGCGCTGGAGGCGCTAGTGCTGGAGGACCCTGGGAGACCCCGGACCCGGCATCGACGGCGGCGGCGGGATCAGCTGCGGCGGGATCCCTGTCCCGGAGCGCCATAGTGCGTGAGGCCACAAACGTGGCAGAGAGCGCGGGCGGGACTCTGCCGTATTGGAAACTTAATCTTTTTGCGTCCTGAGCAGCGTTCTTAGACTTTCGTGGGTCCACTGGAGGTGGTGGGGAAATGAGGGCCAGGAGCGTAGGTGTGGGAGGGGAGTCGCCCAGCTGTAGGGAGGTAGGGGATGTGCTCCTGGGAGGCCTGAGGGGACGCTGAAGCGAGCTGGGGCCAAAGTCCTCCAACCCAGAGTACTTCCGGGGGTCCAGAAAAGAGAGAGCTTGTAGTTCTTGGGGAGTTAAGAATCAGAGAAGATGTGGCCTTGGCTGCTGGCAAACCAGGATTTCTTTTCTGTTCTGATATTTGACCTTGAGCAAGAAATTTTATTCTCCAGTTTTGCGCCTCTTTCGTTTCTAGCCTCCCTTCCCCTTTGCTGAGTATTAAGATTAAGGTGCTCTGGTGGCCCAGTAGGTAGGGAGTTGCGTTGCCAATGCAAAGGCAGATAGTTTGAATCCACCAGCTGCAATCTACTCCCATGCGATTTACAGCCTCTGCGAACGCCCTGCAGGGTCAGCTATGAGTCTGTTCTGACTTGACAGCAATGAGTGAATTCCCATTGCCTGAATATTAATATTGAGAAGATAGGGGAAAGCCTTGAACTTTTGGAGGGAATGTTGAGATCTGAGCATGGGGGTGATGGGAAAGAAGGCTAGTGTTGACTTCTTTACTAGCCCTTTCTCCTTACTAGTTGTTAAGACTCCTTGGTATTTTCGGTTCTTTGGGAATGAAATGAAAGTTGGCAATCTCTTCCAGGCTTAAAAACAATTATGCTTTAAATTTTGTGTTGCACGCTGGTTTCCAAAGCATTTTCCATTATGTTATCCAATCAGCAAACAACTGTGTTAGGAATTGTTATTAGGCACTAGGTAATTGGAAAGGACTCATACTTAGATTCTCTCCAGTGGATTTTCAGAGGCAGTACAAGAGAGATGGGGAAATGAAGGTCTAAAGAAGTGGGTGGTTTTCCCAAGAAAGTGTAGGTAACAATATCCTGTGGAAGGAAAAGTGGTGGTGGTACCCATGTAGTGTCTGACAAGGGAGCTCTGGTGGTATAGTCTGAAGGGAATTGTGCTGTTAACTCAAAGGCAGTTCCTCTGGTCGCCCACAGTCACCAGTTTCTCCATGGGAGAAGGATAGACAGTCTCCACCCAAGTGAGTTAAGGTCTCAGAAACACTGCTTGAGGGTCGCTTGTATGAGTTGGTTCTAACTGTAAAGCAGTGAGTGAAGGAGGGATCGGCCACCACCTCCTTAATACAGGGAGTCCCAGAGTCCTTTTGCACTCATGTAGGCTCATCTGGCCAAGAAAACTCCTGCATCCTCGGTGCTAGTTTTCTTTTTCCATTTGGTTGACTTTTCTAGCCCACTGTTCTCCGCCCTCATTCTTTACATTTATCAGTTGGATTGTATCCTAGACGCAGGGCATCAGGCCCGGACCATGTGCAGTCTAGGTTGACAGCCATCCACTCTCTTCCACCTCATCATGTTCCTTTGGAACCCCTGCACCCCTCCGCACCCCCGAAGACTGCAGTCAGATTCAAAGCCAGGAGTGCCTGGCTTGGTGGTCTGGAGTTGACTTGGACTTGCAGCTTGACTCGGAAGTAGCAAAACGTCTTCTGGCAAGAACGACCATGTTGGTACCAGAGCAGGCAAGATCCACCCTCAGCTTTCTCCAGAGTGTGGCAGCTGATGTGTTCCCCGCCAGAGCCACGACCAGGGCCAGAGCTCCTGGACTCTGCGGAACAGAAAGTATGTTATATTCTGATGAGAAAACGCCAAGAAATTTCAAGACCGTGACTTTTTATTTATATTATTTAAGATCTGTCTGTAACCTCTGCTTTGATGGACTTGTCACTCTCTTGAAATGCTCAATTTCTTTGAGGATGTCTTCTGAACAGGGCTGTGCACTGAGCAGGTGATAAGCCTGTGCTAGGGCCTGCAACAAAATAAAATCCCGTCCAGATTTTATTATCTATCTGAGCATCAAAACCACTGGCAGCCTGGCATGCTCATCCGTTCGTTCTCTCTCTCCTCTTCCTTCCTCACTCCCCCTTCCCTCTTTCCTTCCTTCCTTTTTTCTTTCCTTCCCTCTCTCCTTCCCTCTCTCCTTCCCCTTTCTTTCTTTCTTAGTTGTGAGGAGGGGTTGTTAATCATCATTTGGAAATATTGCACTATCTGAAACACTGTACTTTCACAGCTGCTGTTGAAATTGTGATGAAGTATTTGACACATTGGTGCCTCTGAAGTTATGATGGTGTGGATTTTTTTTTCCTTTTATTTTTGGTTTGATGGGGTTGGTTAGTTTGTTTTTACTTTTTGTAGCTAATTTATGGATTGAGACAGTATCAAAGGTTTTAGGGAGCTCTGGTGGCCTAGTGGCAAGAAGCAGCACTGCAGTCCTAGAGCTATGCGGTTCAAACCACCAGATGCTCTGCTGGAGAAGGAGGAACCATCTCCTCCTGTACCAGTCAGATCTGATTTGATGGTACACACACAAAAAATAATAAAGAGGGAAAAAAATTAAAAAAAGACAGTATCAAAGGTTTTATTAAAATTTGTACTTTAGCACCTGAAAAAAAAAAGTTCATTAAATGGAGAAAAATTCAAGAAAGACCTTGGTAAGAGTCTGTGAATAGGTCAGTTTTACTGATTAGCTAAGTGAATTTGGATACACCTACTTGCTGAGTTAATATGAATACTTAATGGAGGGAGACCATATAGATACAAGTATCACCTTTACCAAAGTTCTTGCTTCACAGTATCCTGCCACTTCAAGAAAGGAAAGCATGATATTGCTTTGAGATGTGACGTTTTAAGATTGAGCCCTCAAATTGGAACTGAACCATAGCTGACCCACCAGTACATGTTTAGAGACAGTGAATTGCTTGGGAGGAGATTGCCCACCTTTATCCTGCTAAGTAGCTGGCTGTTTAAAACCCTGTGCCTTTGGGATTGCAACACAGCATCTTAGCACTAGGCCAATAGTGCTAGCATTATTCTTGCTGATGCTATTAGAATTAGTGCAAAATAAGAAGTTGAGGCATCTGATATTTGCATACTCACACTTGGCTACCCTTTCCCTACCATAATTATATATCTTTCTCACCTTTTTTCTTCCATCCCCCCTACTTTTTATTTTGGTATTAAAAAATCAAGATACTCTGTAAATGTTCATTAAAATTATTAAACAAAAAATGAAGATACATAGATTCAAAGTAGGATGAAGTACTTGACATTTGAGATGGTTGTTTACATAAGAAGTGTTCTGAATCAAATTCTCATTCTGAGTACTTTTTAAGGAGGCCTGGTGTCATGGCAGTTAAGCACTCACCTATTGATGAAAAAATGGTTTGAACCCATCAGCTGCTCTGTGAGAAAAAGGTGTGGCAGTCTGCTTCTTTAATTTATGGCCTTGGAGTTAT